TGTGGAAGATCAAGAGTGTATCTAGGTTTAGTTAGTCCAGTAGAGGAGTTTTTTTTTAAGGTTGTCAATATAATTTGGGAATGAAACCAATAATTTACTTTTTTTAAGACTGTCAATATAATTCGGGAATGAAACCAATATTTTACGTTAAGATTTAAAGGTTTTTTTAATACTTCTCTCAATACGCACAAATATGTTATTATAGGTATAGCTTCAAGTAAATTAATAAGTTTAGATGTAGAGAATAAATTTGCGTAAGTATTTATTAAAATTGTAACAAAACTATAATTTTAAAAATATAATAAATTTAATGTTAAAAATCTTCAAAAGTTTAATTCGTAGAATTTAAATTCTCAATCTTCATCTAATTTCAAAAGTATATTTTTCAAAAAGTCAATTTGCACAAACTTCAAATAATTTATGAAGTAGTCTACTAATATATATTTTTCTTTGTCTCTATTTTTTTCTTGGAGTTTCTTAGGAAAAGGACAGGATAATAAAGAGTGGTGAACATCAACTTTAGCACTATTTGAGTGTCTAATAAACATTAATTTATCAATAAATAGCAAACAAAAAATGATACATATGAATAATAAACAAATGAAGTTCTTGGTGTCAACTTCTACGTGGAAGAGTTATTGCACGTCCTCAACAGGCAATGTTATTATTTCGATTATTGTAACCAAAAAATAAAAAGAGATTAAAATATTTTAAATGGATAATCTTAAATAATGAAATATAGAAAATGGGTTTTTTATACTTCGAAGTTCGAAGGGTCATTTGTACTTTTGCTTTTATTTTGTGCTAGTCTTTTATTTTTACTTGTGAAATTATTTATATTTTCGTATCATAATATTTTATAAAATTATATTTTGTACTTTTGAAAAAAATTTGATTTCATTAGGTATAAGTTTGATTGCTAAAAAATAATTAAAGATCATATGACAAATCGTGTAATTAAATGAATATAATATGGAGGGGACAAATGAGAGCGATGAACTGTAAATCAGGCCGGTTTCTAATTAAATATATATGTAACGAATGAATATATATTGATATTAATTACTACATAAATATTCTAAATCAATTCACATATATTGATAGGTTACATGTATTAATATTTAGGGACATTTAAACAAGACACTTTTGAAGCATTTATTTACAATGTTTTTAATTATAAAGAAATGTGTAAATTAAGGATTAGTTTTAATATTCTACTTGAGCTATACAAGTAGCTCAAATATTTAAATTAAATTTCTTTGGGCTTTGCCAAATCAATAGATATCTAAATATCTAATGTGGAAAAAATCTTTTTTTTCCTACACTCTTAAAAGTGTATTTATATACTATGCTTAAGATTAAGAAGGAGAGCAAGCTAATAAACTAACAGACTAATACTCCTTAGGAATGAATTTGACCCAGTAGATATTTGAGAATTTGGTGGAATCCGGTTACATCCCAAAATGTTTCGATACATCGCTTTTCGGTATCCATCAACGTCCCGATACATCGTATCTCAGTTTTGGATACATCACTCAACATCTTAATTACACGATCGTACGTCCTAATACATCGAGTAAAGTGATGTATTCAAGCAAAGAGTAGAAATTTTAGTAATTTTTTCATAAGATCAATAGGCAGCTCAACCCTAAAGCCACCAAAGCAATGGCTTTAGGTCCCTGAAAAATAATGCCTCAAAATTATTCAATGGTGTTATATATAATTATAAATAACTATCTATTTATTGTTAGTATTAATTATTGAAGTTTTCTTAATGAAATTAAATTTGTACTTACTTTCTACTTATTAATTTGTCTAATTCACTTCAATTAAAATCAATTATATTTTAAAATTGGCTTTGTTAGACTACCTTCAATTTCTTGAGGTGTCTCTTGGACATTTCAATCTCAAACAAATTAGATTATCAAATAATTAAATTTAAAAAGATATTGTCTTAACTTTAAAGGTCTTCTAAAGTGTAACAATTACCAATTACTATGGTCTTAATTATTTTTGTAATTAAAATAATACAAAATACATATATACAAGTAAAAATGATATTATAATTGGTATACTCAATCAAGTGAAGTCTCAATTTATTATTTTTAATATTCCTACTACTTCTAGAATATTTTGATAGTTTGTATAACAATATATTCAATTAATAAAAAAATTCAAAATTATAATCAATAAGAGTTTATCTAAGATATAAACATATATAGTGTTATATAACGTATAATAATTTATATATGCATATTCATGTCTTACAAATTAGAAATATTATAATGACAATTGAAAATACTATATAATATATATATATATATATATATAAGCATAAGATCTCTTTTTTTAAAATTTAGCTGTAGAAGCTTACTGTTTATAAAACTAAATTGTTTCAAAGAATGCTACATTTCTTCCAAATTTTCCAAATCCTAAAACCCCATCGGCAAGAATGAGCATTTCACCGGAAACAATGCCTGGCCCTATTGAGGTAAGGGATGCAATATTTTGTAGACTTTCGGTGAAGTCACTTTCGAGATTTAGGTGCGTATCAAAATCAGTCAAATCCCTAATCGACAACACAGAATTCATCTGAGCACATCTCAACGGACAAACACCAATTTAGCTAGGTTCTTGCCATGGTTTGCTTTTCATATCTAATAATTTTGATGACTATGTGTCAATATGAGTGAGCAAACTAGAGAATTCAATACTCATTCAGCTTATAAGTTAGTTAAATAACTAACAGGTTCAAAGAGTTAGTTAGGAACTCTAACCGTTTATTCAAGAAAGTTTGTGTATATATAGATGTACTTGTACTCTATAAAGGTAACAAATCAATAAAGAAAATTGATGAGAGAGCTTTAACTCTCAAGGATAATTCTCTTTCATAGCAGATTACTGCTTCTTCTTCCTATTCTGCTTCTTCGTCTTCAATCTAATCTCCATAAACTACACAATGGTATCTAGAACCCATACACTAAAATATATCGTAAATTGAAGCGATTTTGTCGGATTAACCCGGCACAGCCATCCTTGTCTCACAGGGAGGGGTAGCTCTAGGAATTATTATAAGAGTAAACCATGGCCTAGGGATGTTCGTGGTTTGGCTTAAGGGGTAATAAGACATTAATTTAGTTAAGATGTGTCTCTACGATTTCGATAATAGTCTAGAAGTACCTATATCTTATTCCATTAAATAATACAAGAAATTATTGTTAATACATCATAACTTGTGACCATTTTAACACAATATGTAGAACAAATATAACCAAATCTTGCCCTTTCATCATAAATATTTGTGCATAATTGAACCTTGCCCGTTCATCATAATTCATGAATAATTGAACAACACGTGTAAGTTTTTGACTATAAGATAGAATTTATGATCAATTGAGTAGATTTACTAACTTTAACTTATTGAAATATTTCGAACTTCTACCTTATGGGATGCCACGTGGACAAATCATTGGTTAGAAAACATCCAGGTGTATGATTTTATCTTGTGGTAGCTATCAACAGATTTGAATTGCCATTTATGTCTTCATGATAGATGCTTCTGGAAGTTGGAATGTAGCCACTTATTGCCATCTCTAGAAGCACATTGTCTTGGTGTCCTTACTAGTAGTCGTACGATTATTTTTATTCTTCGATGTTTTTAACTAGTTATAATTATTTCATGTAATTTGTTTGTATTATTATTTTTGTTATAGTATTACTTTGTTTCTATCTATTGTGTAGTATTTTCATTATATCTTTTCCCAAATTGATTTTGCTCTGAGCCGAGAATCTATTGAAAATAACTTTTCTACCTCACCTCTGAGGTAAAGGTAAAGTCTATGTACACTTCACTTTGTGAGACTACATTGAATATATTATTGTGTATTGTCGTCTCTTAACTTCTTGTTCTTGAAATGCATTTAATTAATTAGATTGTGAAAATTTTCAAAAATTTATTATACAATATAAAATATTACGCTACATAATATAATATTAAACCTGGAAAGAACATAATACATAATATATAAATTTTATATAGAAGTGTATAATAATGAATGGAAGGTAAATTATATTGGGAAAATTGTATGAAATAACAAATTATTAATTCAAATTAAATGTTATAGCTATAGTTTCTTTTATTTGTAATTCGCAATAAACATTTTATGTTTTTTGCCATCTCATTTGTATACTGAAATATACAAATAGACCCAAATACATATTTTTTATGTATATGTATACCGAAATATACAAATTAATAGTCATAACAAACATAAAGTTTATTATGAAGCGCAATTATGCAAACTATAGGTATTGCATACAAATATGATTTTTATGTTTGCTAAACCTAAAATTTACTCATTTTAGATCAATAAATATAGACTAAACTGAATAAAAAAATTAAAATGCGAGTTATATAACATAAATATTTTCTCCTACTAGATATAGAACGCAATTTTCCTATTAATTAATGACTAGCAGTAAGCCTTTAAGATAAAGTAGTAGGGATGGTCACCTAGTTCTGTTCATTTGGCCATGGAAGAATTTAAAAAAAAAGGAAAATGTTCAAATATATTCCTATACTATATGATTTAGAGTAAATATATCATCGACTAAAATGTTATTAATCTATTTATACCTCTATTGTTACGCAAATAGTTTAGATATATCATTTCAATGCCGAAATGGTTCCAAAAAATACACACTTAGCTTTTTTTTTGTTGTCATACTCTATTTAGTCCCCCTAACAAAAAAAAAAAAAACTAATATAGCCAACTCAATTGTGTGGCCATTAGGAATTGGTAAGCCAAATCCACATAAATTTTGATACACACTTAGCTTTTAGCCATACATGTAACATCAACTTTGTGCTATAAAACTTAGCAATTCCCATACTTTTTTTCACCAAAACCAAGTGTTAAAATATTTTCTTAGCAAATTACAAACAGAGAAATTTTCAAATAAATTTTATTTTGTGTGTCTTTAGAGTTAGTCAAATACATATGGCTACCTCTGTCTCAACCATTGGAGCTGTCAACAAGGTAGTAGTACTGTGTAAAAAAAAATGAGAATTAGGGATGGGAGTTAATAGTTGTTCACTTTGGTACATAACACATTTTCTTGGTCAATGACATGAAATTTCAGTATTTCAGTATTTTTTCACTTTTTCCTAGAGTTGAACTCCATAAAATACGTTTGGCCATAAAATTCTGAAAATCAACTCATTTTCAATAAGTTGGAAAACAACAAAAAGGTGTTTTCACTCCAAATTACTCACAAATATCCAAAAACAATTTCAATTTTGTATTCATAACCAAATGTAATTCTCAACTTTCAAATATCATTTTCACTTTGAAAACAAAAACTACTTTTTAAAAAAAAAATCACACTGAAACATGGATGAACGTCGAACGCCCACTTAAACCGGCTGATTTAAGAATGTTTTTTTGTTAAGATTTGATCATAGGCAAGGGCAGAGCCGCAATGTAAGTTATGACTTTTGCTCAAATCTTATATTTGAGTCAAGACATTTACTTATAATGTATAAATAATTTATTCAGAATCCACTAAGCAACTAAAAATCCTGGATCCGACACTTTAACCAGAATTTGATAGAGGGATTCTATAGTTTTTTTTTTTTTTTAATTTTAATTTTACCCTCCCTAGGAGCTCCCACCCCTTTTTGCTCCCTTGGTGACTCGAACTCGCAACCTTCGAGTTGTAAGTGAGGGTTGCTTACCATTCGAGCAACTCCCTCTCGTCGAGGGATTCTATAGTAGTTACTAAGAAAACATCATTTTTTTGGCAGTTGAGTTTGAACAACTCTGTTGTTGGAACTTCAGTTTGAACAACTCTGTTGTTGGAACTTCAGTTCCACCAACAGCCTTCTTTGGGAAAACCTTAAAGAAAGTGAACAACATAGTTTTCAGCACAAACATCTCAAACAAGACATTGCAAGGGGTAAAGGTATGGTTGATTCGCTTTTCCAGGCTCCAACGGGTACTGGTACTCACCACGCCATCATGAATTCCTACGAATACCTCAGCCAAGGTCTTCGCCAGTAAGTTGAACTGTGTGATCATCTTATCTAAAACCTTACACTGTTGTTGACTTGTGTGATCATATTGTCTAAATGGTTAAGCTGTCAGAGAGAGCGCACTTTTATTTACTTGATTATGTGTTTTGACATTCGATTAGATATAACTTGGACAACAAGTTGGATGGATTCTACATCACTCCTGCTTTCATGGACAAGCTTGTTGTTCACATCACCAAGAACTTCTTGACATTGCCCGACATATCAAGGTATGTCAAAGAGATGTTTGTTAACAAAATTTGGCTTAAGTAGTGTTTGGTGTAAAGGAAGATTTGAGCTTTGTGTATGTTTCTTACAGGTTCCACTTATTTTGGGTATTTGGGGAGGAAAAGGTCAAGGTAAATCATTCCAATGTGAGCTTGTCTTCAGAAAGATTGGGAATCAAGTGAGTATTGCCTTAAATAACATACCATCTTAATTCGGATTTTTTTCGAGGAAATGGACTATAGTTATTTCTGAAACAATCTCTCTACCTCCATGAGATAGGGATAAGGTCTCCGTACAGTCTACCCTCTCCAGACCTCACTTGTGAGATTTAATTTCACTGAGAATGTTGTTGTTGTAAATAGACTAAAGTTACTTTTGAAACAACCTCACTACCTTCACGAGGTAGGGGTAAGATATGCATATAATCTACCCTCTCCAGACCTCACTTGTAGTGATTTCACTGAGAATGTTGTTGTTGTAAATAGACTAAAGTTACTTTGGAAACAACCTCTCTACCTTCACGAGGTAGGGGTAAGATCTGCGTGCAGTCTACTCTCTCCAGACCCCACTTGTGGGATTTCACTTAGAAGGTTGTTCGGTTTATTAAACTTGCAGCCCTATTATGATGAGTGCTGGAGAATTGGAAAGTGGAAATGCAGGAGAGCCAGCTAAATTGATTAGGCAAAGGTACAAAGAGGCCGCGGAAATCATCAGGAAGGGAAACATGTGTTGCCTCTTCATCAGGAAGGAGTTGATTTCTCAAATCGTCAATGACAAACAAGTAAAATGTATGTTGTATGTGTGACATCTTCGTCTGATGATCATAAAGTGTACGTAAGTTGATCTTATAATCGCGCAATTTCAGTTAGGCAGACATACTATATGTGCGAATAGAGTGTATCCACTATAGACTATTGCTATATATGATTCGTAAATATGCAAACTATTGCTATATGTATGAAATTTTCTCAAGTCAATATGGCCTGAGGGTTAATTACTGATCATAACATAACAGGTTACATGCACATTATTGGGCTATTTTTTCAAATCCTAGATGTTACTCCCTCCATTATCTTTTATTTATCACGTTTTGATTATCAAGAGTCAATTTGACTAATTGACTAATCTTTGAAGTTAATTGAATTATTAATTTTTAAGATTTAGACGTTCAAAAACTCTAAAAGAAAACTTTTTAAGTTGCGATAATATGACGAAAAAATACTAATCACAATCCATATAGTTTCTCTTAAGCAGGGCCAGTCATAGGGTCAAGCCACTAAAGCAAAGGCTTTAGGCTACAAACTTTTAGGTGCTTCAATTTTTTTCGATATTCGATATTTATATTGATGCTGACACAGACTAAGAATGGGCCAGCAGAGCCTTTCATCATTCAGCTGAATGGGAGTTGGCCAAAAGCAGAGGACTTTTTTTCCCACTAGTGCTTCACTTTTCATAATTGTATCACCAAAACTATTAATTTAATAGAATTTTCTGTTTCCTTTGAATCCAGAACATAATCCCAAAGCCAAAATAAAATAAAATAAAAATTAGTAGCAATGTGTTAAAAGAAAAGAACCAATGATGAAAAAAATGGAATTTTCATGATGCCAAGTTATGTAGTGATTATATTAATAGCAAATACATTATTATAATGTCATGTTTTTGTTAAGTTTGGCTCTTTTCAAACCATCCATTATTAAATAGCGAGGGATCGTTTGGCGACCAGAGATAATTAATTTATGTATTATTTTTTTGTAAATGTTTGGTAACTACTTAAAACAAGTTATTTGTGTATAAAATCAATATGATATTTGGCTTGTAATTTAGAAATTTAAATAATTAATACTCCCTCCATTATGGTTTAGTTGTCGTGTTTTGCTTCACGGGAATCAATTTAATTAATCTTTGGAGTTAGATTGAAGTAGATTAATTCAATATTTTAAATTTAGAATTTAGATATTCAGAAATAACTGAAAAAATACTACAAACTGCAATCGTTATCATATTAATATGATATAAAAAAAACATCTAAAATATTGATCAAAATCTATACACTTTGACTCTCGAAAAACAAAAACAAGTAAAAAGAAAGGAGAAGTACAATTATATAATACAAGTATACGTTATGAATTTGTGTATTATTTTATGCGGGGTAAAAGATATGAGAAAATTTCTATATTGTTTTTTTCTTACCTTACCATCCGTCCAGCTATCAAATATAATAATATTTATACAAAATTCAAAATATGAGGAAATTTCTATAATATTTTTTTTACCCATTCCCTCAGGGGCTCCCACCCATTTGTTTTCTCAATGACTCAAACTCACAACTTTAAGGTTGGAAGTTAGAAATGCTTACCATATATCCAACTGTCAAATATAATATTATTTATACAAAATTTAAGATATGAAGAAATTTCTATATTACTTTTTTTACACCTTTCTGAGGTACTCCCACTTTTGTATTCCTTTAATGGTTAGAATTCATAATTTTAAGATTGAAAGTGAGAGGTATTGTGCCAAATATAATAGTATTTGTACAAAATTATATCTGGAGAAGTCAAATGAACCGTTATAGTGATCCAGAACCTAGGTAGCTTTTTTTATTAAAATAATTTTGCCAATTATAAAAAAAAAAGGATTCTGCTCTCGACAAAGTAAATATTTGAGTAGTTTATTAGAGTACTTTGCAATATCTATATAGTATTTTTTTTTTCTTTTGGGGGTGCGTGTAATATGTATGTTATCCTTTTGCCATTGGTAATTGATTAATTAATTTATGTTTTTTTTTTTGACAAAAGATTAATTTCTGTTGTATATTACCTGTAGAGTGATGGACATTTAATTCTCGAATTTCCAGCTTGACAAAAGTTTTTTTTTCTTTTGGTTGTGTATGTATGAAATAAAACTTAATTAACATTCATATCCTTTAATATTTTTTTTTGTATATATATACATATTTAAATTTGTATAAAATTAAATAAATAAATAAACACATTAATTCTATGTGACGTGATAATTTTATGTTATATATGGCATCTTACATGTATTAAATCACACAGAATGTGTTAGATTTTACTTGTTTAATATTATATAAATTTAAATACATATTTATAGACATTCAAAATTTAAAAATACATAGATTTATTTATTATTATATGCTAATAGAAAACCTTCCAAGAAGTAATTATTTTGGAGAAAAATTGCAAAAGGATAGGGACGAAAAGACAGCATAATTATCCAGTTGGCATTTTTGGCCCTTTTAACAAGGGGAAATAATATAATAAAAACATTGAATTTAGCTGTTCTTTAAATAGCAAACAGAAAATTTCCAAAAAAAAAAAAGAAGAAGAATAAAGATCATCATATTGTTTATATTATAATATTTCTACTCCTTTCTAGGAAAATCACGTTTGCCGGGCAAAAGAATTATTTTAAATTGGCTTGGAAATAATTTTGTGTAATATCTAAATGGAGCACCATGAAAAAAGACAAAAGTTAAATGAGAGGTCTATTTTTCTTAAGCTTTAAGCCTCCATGATTATGCGCGATGGGTTTGTTTGGTAGATGAAATAAGAGATTATAATTACATAAAATAATTTTCTTTAAAGGTATCAAATAAATGAGTTAATATGGATGAATTAAAATGTGCGGTTATATCATTTTGTATAATGTGATTCAACTTTAAAGTGTTTAACATCGAGATAAATCAAAATAGTTCAACTTTAAACTAGGGATGTGTGAACAATATTGGTTTGGGTTGTAGCATGCAATATTGATAATCAAATCAATAAGATTTTGATGGTTGGGTAATGGGGTATCAATTATCTATGTCAATCGTTTAGTTATTTGATTAATAAATGCTAACAAATATTCCCATGACATATATTAAAAAAGTATTTCCGATAAAATGTATTGCGGCTAAAATAGAATTTTATTTTTAAAATGATGTAGTCCAAAACACATTTTATCTTACTAAAATGATAACATGTATCATATTATCGACAACTCATTAACCAAATAGCCAAAACGATATCCAAATCAATAACCCAATAAATAGGACACTGAACTATTACAAAGTGGACAAATCAATAACATGTACCATTAACTCAATAACTCTATTATACATATGATATCTGAAGAGCATAAAGTGTACCCAAATTTTATCTTTACCTCATGAAGGATAAAAAAGTTATTTTCTAAAAATTCTTGACTCAATTTTATTATTGATTCGAACTATCGATCCGTATTTACGTTTGATGTCCAACATATTAAGTTGTAGTCCTAGGTTATACACACTATCAACTTATAGTGGTGTCACTGTCATAATAAACTAAAGTATACTAAAATAAACAAAAAGACAGCCACCATAATAGTGCTACAAGTCCAAAGACAATAATACATTTTTGCTAAGGAATAAATGTCACTCTCCTTGTTTGCCTTGATTGTATTTTTTCTGTAACATTTCTCTCACACACCAATAGTACATTTTTTTTCACTAAAAAGTAGAACAATCTTGCTACAAAATTCTCAAATCTTGTATACCTTTCAGTCCAAATCTCACCTACTCTTGATAAAAACTTTAAATCTGACCTGAAAATCTTGAAAAACAAAATACCCTTTACAAATGGTGTTCTTCTTGTTTGTGTAACATTTTTCTGAGACCCCAAAAGTGTACTTTTCATTATAAAGCATCAATCTTTACTACTAATTTGCTCAAATCTTCAGTACCCTTGAAAAAATCTTGAAATTTGACCTGAAAATCTTGAAAATATAGCTTTACAAATGGTGCTCTTCTTGTTTGGCTTGGCTGTGTTTCTGTAACATATCTCTCAGACCCCCAAAAGTGCCTTTTTCATTATAAAGCAACAATCTTTACTACAAATCTTGAAACTTGCCTGAAAATCTTGAAAACCCCCTTTTGGAAATGGTTAATAGTTGTCTTATACTACTCTGTTCATTCATTTCCTTCTCAATCCTAGCTTCATCTCAGCAACTTGATGGCTTCATTTATACAAGATTCAATGAACCAAACAATAACATTACCTTAAGTGGAATTGCTGAGATTAGTCAAAATGGATTCATTCAATTAACCAATGAAACAAGTAGATTAATGGGGCATGCCTTTTATTCTTCACCTTTTCAGTTCAAGAACTCAACTAATGGCACTGCTTTTTCATTTTCAACATGTTTTGCTCTTGCTATAGTCCCTGAATATCCAAAACTTGGTGGTCATGGACTTGCTTTTACCATTTCTCAGTCTAATGATTTCAGCACAGCTCTTCCAAGTCAGTATCTTGGCTTACTAAATGCTACTGATGTTGGTAACTTCTCAAATTATATATTTGCTGTTGAATTTGATACAGTACAAGATTTTGAGTTTGGGGATATTAATGACAACCATGTTGGTATAAACATTAATAGTTTAAGGTCTAATATGTCTGCTGATGCATCTTACTTTGATGATGATTTGGTAAAACAAGATCTGAATCTCAAATGTGGTAAGGTAATATTGGCATGGGTTGATTATGATTCTGTTACAAACTTGGTTAATGTTACACTTTCAAGATTTGCTACAAAACCAAAGTTGCCACTTTTCTCTTATCATATAGATCTCTCTCCATTTCTCAAAGAAAATATGTATGTTGGTTTTTCTGCTTCAACTGGTTTGCTTGCAAGTTCACATTATGTTTTTGGTTGGAGCTTTAAGTTGAATGGTGAAGCCAAATTTCTAGACTTGGATTTACTTCCATCATTGCCTGGTCTCAAGAAGAAGCACAGTGGCGTAATCGTAGCTATCTCGGTTATAGTAGTTGTTTTGGTTTTGATTGGTATATTAGTTGCTACTTATTTAGTTAGGAGATTCAAGAATGCTGATGTTATAGAGTCTTGGGAGCTTGAGGTTGGTCCTCATAGATACTCTTATCAAGAACTTAAGCAAGCTACTAGAGGTTTTAAGGATAGTGAGCTTCTTGGGTTTGGGGGATTTGGTAAAGTTTACAAGGGTGTTTTACGAAGTTCGAATATGGAAATAGCTGTGAAGCGTATTTCACATGAATCTAAACAAGGTTTACGCGAATTTGTGTCTGAAATATCTAGCATTGGAAGACTCCGTCATAGGAATTTGGTTCAATTAGTAGGTTGGTGTAGACGTCGTGGTGACCTTTTACTTGTGTATGATTTTATGCCTAATGGAAGTTTGGACAATTTCTTGTTTGAAAAACCTAGAATGGTGTTGACATGGGAGCAAAGGTTCAAAATCATCAAAGGGGTTGCTTCTGGTTTACTATACTTACATGAAGGTTATGAACAAGTTGTGGTGCATCGAGACATTAAGGCTAGTAATGTGCTATTAGATGGAGAGTTAAATGGCAGGCTTGGAGATTTTGGACTAGCAAGACTATATGAGCACGGATCAAACCCGGGCACGACTAGGGTG